CTCTCTCACACACACACACACACACACACACACAATTACACCAACTGGTGCTAGTCGGCTCATTTCCCTTTACCACCAGCCATGTGTGTATGTGTATGTGTGTGTGTGTGTGTGTGTGTGTGTGTGTGTGTGTGTGTGTGTGTGTAATATAAAAATATGCCTGCAGAATAATGTGCGTTTTTGTGCGTAAACAAACACACAATATTATATGATAGCAGATGGCGAAAGGCGCCTCTACTGCGCGCTTTAACGATCTCCCAGTTGTCTACCTGTCTTCCCTTTTTTCGGGCTCCGTTTGGCTATTCTCCGACTTCTTTTTACTCAAACTCTCCAATTGGCGTCTGCTGTAGGGCTGGGCAATGAGTCGCTTTAGCGAGATCCGGATAATATGTTAGTGCCCCTCTTTGGCAATTTTAAATGTGTTATGAACCGCTTTGGAAAAAAATGTGTTAGAACCACTCCGACAAACCAGTTAGAACAGCTTCAACAAATAGGAGCACACACTCCCGCAAACGGCTTAGGAAAGAGAGTCGGAATTCGGATAATGTTTCATTGAGAATTATCCTGTTCCCCGGATAGATCCGGATTTTGCCCACCACTAGTCTGCGGTGTAGACGTTTGGTGCTTTCCTGTCGCACGCTGGAGATTCGAGTTCGATTCCCGAGTGGAGAGAAAATTTTTATCGAGCATCTCCGCCTTTCTGTTGGGGTATTGACCCTGACATGCAGGGTCGAAAGTCCGCCTCCTATGTGATCTAATTTGTGTTTGGGGCGTACAAACGCCTTCTATATATTCATGTATTAATGTTTTTTTTTTGTATTTTTAAAAATTTCAATCAATTAAAACAAACACTCACATGTTTATATTTTTCTCAGTGCATATTGTGGAGTTGGTTGTGAAGTTATGAATAATTTGATTTGCACACTGTTTTGAATTATTTCGTGTTTGGACCAAAAGGACCCAATACATTTGCTTTAAAATGATTTGTTCGTGTGCTTCAATGCGTTTAACTGGTGTGGTGTGCTTCTTCTTTCCTATCAAACATCTATCATCCTTATCTCCCCTTCTTCTTTTTATGTTTGTTACTCTGTAGTAACACCTCTAATCTTCTGGCGCTCATATGACCTAATGCATTTGCGAATGCCGTAAAACCTCTACTAAAACTAAAACTAATTGTGTTTAACTTGAAACATGTTATTTTTTATAAATATAAAAAAATTGTATACAACAACTTTCATATAACGGTAGTATCAACGGCAAGAGCGTAGCTGTGCGTGGGGTCTCTAAAATAAGGACAAGAGCTGCAACAGGGGCATCAGCCACTGCAACTTCTAATGATTTGTTTGTTATGTGTCTGTGGGTGGTTGGTGGGTGCTTGGGTGTGGTTTACTCTTTCTATAAAATCGTCTTTATCTTTATCTCTCCTCATTCTCGGTATTTGTACTCTATTGTAACACTTCTCTAATCTTCGGCACTTATAGAACTTTAGTTGCGTTGCAAGTGCAGTGAGACGGTTACTAAAATCTTTAAAGTAGGGCAACAAGAACTACAGCAGAGACTACGGCAACTTCTGATAGTATCGTGTTTTGTTGTGTGTCCACAGAAAAAGCGGTGACCAAACTTCAGCTGGACAGTATTGACATCTCCAGGCGTCACCTTTCTTTTGCAGACGAGCAACACGTAAGTTGAGTACCTGTTTGTACGTCTATGGGTATGTGTGGCTATGGTATAGGCTTAAGCAGTCGTTTTTAAGCCCTGTAAGTGAAAGGTCTGTCTTGTCTGTCAATCTATCAATCCAGAATGCTCTGTGACAGTGCACTATGTGTTGCAGGCGTTAATTAACACCGATGTTCAAAGGATATTCTAGCGTGTTCAAGTTCATTTCCTCATACTTTTGAAGGAAAAAAATCTGTGTTTCTGTTCAATAGTAACTGCTGTCCATGTAGCAAGATGCAGATGGTGGTGGGTGCTCTGGTGTGGTTTGTTCCTTCTTTCCTATCAAACATCTATCGTCCCTCTTTCTCCTCCTTTTTGTGTTTTTTACTCTCTTGTGACACCCCTTATTGTGTTGTAAGTGCCGTAAAAACTCTTACTTTAACAAAAACTAAAAAAGTAAACCAGGAGCCCAACATCCGTTATGTCCTTTCTGCGAAATGTGTAACTTTTTAAAGTAAACTTTTTTTTTTAGTAAGAAGAAGCTTGGGAAGTTTACTATACTGTACGTATTAATCAGCCTCAGCCAAAAATTGTAGTTTCTATGAACAGTTACGTGTACATGTATATGTAATGAACGGTCTGTCGTAATACAAGGTTTCGATGTTACGGAGCTCATAAGTATTTAAAACGCAGTTCTTTTTTCAAGCCATTACGTCGTACTGTGAACCAAATTCATCGTGTCGACTTTGAATACATAAAAACTATGTCTTCCCAAGCTTCTTAAAATCATTCTGACGACTTTTTTCTAAGTAGATGTGTGTTTGGAATCGGGCGCACTACGTAACTCCACTGATTTGAGTAAATTGACCCGTTTTTATGGGGGGGGGGGGGGGGG